TTGCAGTTGCGGCCCCAGGTTGGGAGAAACCGTGTGGAGATCCACAGGTGACATGGAAGCAAGGCATGAAGAAATGCATGGACCGATTAGATAGGATCGGTGTCTCCCGTCTTCCAAGTTGGGGTCCAGAAGATTCGGCAACTGGCTGGTTGGAGACACTGAAGGATATGACGACTAAACGACAGCAGTGGCGTACTTAATGTCATTTCTTATCAGGTCAGAATACTTGAAAAGGTATGTATGCACAGTTAGATTGTGTACTTGTGTGTTGACCATGAAGGTTCCCTTTCTTTGCCTCCCTCCAATTAGGCTCAATCCCTCCCCATATTGTGCTTTGTCACTTGCTTTCTGTACATTGTGAGATTGGCAGCGATCAGTGAAGTTCACCTCTCTGTATCTCGCTTTACGATTATGGTGATGATGATGATAAAATCAAGTCCGTCCATCTACTGTCCACCGTCTCCCTCAAGGTTTTCAAGGCGCAGTTAACTTCAAACTGAGTTCGGCTTGCCCCTCAAGCTGTTTTTCGGAATGAGACGATTATTGCATGCCTTAGCTTTTGGGAGTCACAGGTGGAAGTTAGCAAAAGGTGAGGAGAACAAAAAGAGACACGACGGATTACCAGCTCAGAAGTATTTACCACATTAAGTAATCCACATAGTATATGACTCGATCATCAGTTAATATTCTTGCAATTGGGTTGTTAAACTGATTTCTGCAGTAGTTACACTTGATTTAATAAGCCGTTTTAGATGAATTGTTTAATGCTGCGATTGCCTTCGGTTACCTTTGGGATTTTCCGTAAGGTCATTTTTATAGTATTCTTTACGACTTCTGTATTCCGGCTGTCGGTTCAGAAGCATGCTTCAAGCACGCAAAGGTTATTCATTTACTCAACTTTCCATCTGTCCTTACCCGTTTTTACGCGCTAGGTTTTGGCAATCAGCAGAATAAAAGTGCATCGGACTTATTTGATCGTTGTTTTTTGTTGTTAGCTAAATGCGATGGAAATATTTTTGATGATAAACAAAGATCACTGGAAAGCTAATTCTTCCTCCCAACTGTGTACATTTTCTGCCTCTGCCAAGATTGAAACATGAGAGTTGATAACTGACTGCCCTACTCCTGAACTACGCAGACGACAGTCGTCGCCTTGTGGGAATGACTTAGTCAATTGAGACGAAGAGTATTTGGATTAGCTTCTTTTAGTTTTCCACCGGCAGCCAGCACTGATATCAACCCTCACAATGATTTCCATCTCATTTAAATGCGTCCGGTAGCTGAGGAACTTACAATCTCCCAAGGAGTGAAACCCACAGGCGTAAGATCATCATCGACAGCATCGATACCCGTAAATAATTAATCCAAATATTCATCGTTGAAAGGGTTTTATTATGCATTTTTCTTCTGGTATTACTCACAAAATAGTTTCATTCACATGATCTTATTCAGTCTACAAACTCCGAAGTAACTTTTCACTTTCATCCAAATTTGATTTCGCCATCGCTTTACCCTAGGCCGCCTCCGTCGATAGAAGAAAATCTCGACTGAGCAAAGACCGCTCGTTGTCGATGATGATGATGTCACCACCGGAAGAGAACGAAATGCAAAACGTTTCTGCTGCACCAGCCCCTTTTGAACTGCTTTCATCGTTACCCGGGGAGAATTATCATCGTTCAAACACTATGATATCAGACACTTTACAAGGTCTGAACATCACGCCCATGTTTGAAATCACCGACGGTTTGACAACGGATTTTGGGGACAGCTTGGGTCAACGGTCAGCTTGTTCAACGAAACCGGAACCTATGTGGACCGGCTCATCCGGTGAGAATGTGAGACAGTGTACAACCAACTCGATGGATGAAGAACTGGAGCGAACAGGAGCTTTCAAAGAAAAGTGCTGCCGTCGAAGACGCCATAAGAAAAATCGCAGCTGGAATGGAACAACGCATCATTTAAACAGGTACAGACCCAAACAGCACTGTGTACACGAAGAGTACAAGCGACGTGACTCGCTGCAATCTCTGGTGAACGGTCAGTCGAAGGCGAGGTGGCCCGCAAAACACCGTTCTTGCAGATGGACCACAATGAGTCAACATGAGTAAGTTCCTGAATTATTGTGGTGGGAGAAAGTAGGTATTTTCCACGCAAGGGAATTTAACGATGAAAATCTTGGTTTATGAAGTTCGATTCCTTTCTCCTTTTACCAAACGACTTACCATCGGTCCGGTAAGGGAAGTAGTTTTGGTGGAGCTCTATGGTTACTTCAATACCACTGTTGGTATGTGGAGAGAATTAGATTGGCCAGGGCCAGCCCATCAATCATCAGGATTTGCACCCCATTAAAATTTGTGGCATTAGCACTCGGAATAGCCGAGTGAGAGGGGAATTTATCTGGTATACCACATCATAATGTTCCTTTCATCAATTTATGGAATAACTGCATTCCTTCCTGGGCCTGCCTTTTTCGCCTTCCTTAATCTAAAAGAAGCTATTTAGTCAGTCGACTGCTGATTGTGTCTGTCCTTAGTTGATATCCCAGCAGTACTTCTCGGTTCTATACTTCTGATACGAACAGCCGAAGCAGCGTTCCCGCTTGCGGCTCTTTTTACTAGCGAAAATATGCATATATATAGCGAAGAGTAAAATTTAAAAGGTGAGAGATTTGCCAAGTAAATAGAATTGCACAATTCTCAGTTTGGTCTCCTTGGTTTTAACTGGTGCGTACGTAGTTCAGTGATTCGGTTTTCTTTATTCGAGGTTTATGGAATCAGTTTATTCGGACGAGGATATTCCTCCGCGGGTTCGATTTTTCAATGAAGAGTGCTCACTCTAAACCGTGTTTGCAGTTTATTTCATAATTGATAAAGTTATTCCAACAATTTGCACATTTCGAGCAGGTATTCCAAAATGCGTAACATTTACCTACCAGAATGCAAACACTGACTCCGATCCAAACTTCTTTTCGAAAGGATCAGGGAGTATCTTGAATACGCTGTGCGTTTCTGCTGTTATTAATATTATTATTATGGCCACTAAAACCATANATTATTATTATGGCCACTAAAACCATAGGTAGTTAATTTTTTCGCATATGTGTTCATCTTTTATTTCAGTCAGTATATCACACGGCGAAGCTCAAAAGGAACAGAAAATGCTCCTGTGAACACCACCTCACTAGATGAGCATCACTCGGAATCGTCAGGAGCAATTGCATTTTCTTGTACTGTCTTCACATCAAGTCCGGAATTTTCAAACCAAGAATCAGAAAGTACCTATGTCTATTTCTGAGCTTCGTTCTCCAGTGTTTTTCCACCAATTGTTTTCAATTCGACAGTCTTTTTATTTCCTTTTTTAGGAAAGCTGGTCACATACCATTATCTTTAATTATTTGTTGTCTTACAAGAACTGTGTACAGTTCTCTCGGTTATTCCCACTGTCTACAAAACATTATTTGCTTTGTTTACTGTCCGTCTGTCTGTCTCCAACGCGTTTCGATTTAAGAATGGAATAGAATAAAGACTTGTCATAACAATGTTTGACGGAGTAACGTTTGCTTAGAGGGGCTGGTTATTATTCATTCATGACCTTTTAAAGGTCACATATGCTGTTGATTGACGAGTAAACGAAAAGGGTAAACTGAATTTCAGACATTGGAACTAGAAGATTGTAGTTCAACTCATGTTACTCGGTGTTGAGTTGTGCATGTCCATTAGTTGTTCGACAGTTTGAACCTATTTTGAGAGTAACAACACGGTATGAGGGGAGGACTGGGATGGTTCCCTCACTTGCAGTCGGGTATACACACGGCAGGTCCGTTGACCGGTGAGCAAACAGAAGCGGACGTGCAAAAGTACTCGCTAAAAAGTCGAACGTTTAGGAAATCGCCAGTGGACCGCGTACAACGTGGTCAAAGCAAGTCAAGGTCAAACGTCACCTGTGTGTTTGTCTGAGTACATCAGATGATTCGATTCATCATCCGACAGCGCGTAAACGCTTTTCCATGTCTATTCGTGTGGGACTATCTTGGTTGGACAGAGGAGAACCCCGGTAGAATGATCTTTCAAAATCAGTCATAATCTTTACCCGCCCCCTTACCAAACAATCGCGTTAAATTTGTGATTAGTGGTGACACCGTCAGTCTTAGTACAACGTGTGTTTGCCTTCATAAAAACAATTTCCGATGTAAACCTGATTACAAATACCATACGTATTTCCCCCCATTGGTTTCACATGTTCGGTCGAGTTGATTTGCTACGTAAACCTATCATGCAACCGTGAAAGAACATTTCACGCTGGTTGGCATCATTATAAGTTATTCAAAGTGGATCAACATGGCCGCCTAGCATAGCATATAGATCAGACAAAGTAAAGCAGCAGATTTTGTTGAAACCGTCATTCGCTTTGATAGCAAACTTTCAGCTATTCTTTCTCAGCCGCGGGGAATGGGACAACCACATCCATCAAATGCACTAGCTGTAGACGAGGCACCTGGCAGGACCACTGATAAACCACGACTTCCTCTCTATTAGCAAGTCGGCATTGAATACCTAACACCAGTATTTCGGATGAGATATCTGTCTCACATTAGGATAGGATGAGACAACTATTTCACCTCCAAGTCCTCCCTTAATCAGCTTGGCCTCGATCGCTGAACGAGTCATGACTCATCATGTGACTCAGATGAAAATCGAAACACAGTGCACTAATGTGGATTTAGATCATTTCAACGAATAGTATCGCGAGTTCTGTCCCATACCCGTTTTGTTTGTAGAGCATTACAAAGTTCAATGCAGTTCAGTTTTTACAATCACTGATCATACACGTTCGTGTGGCATTTCTACTTATTGTCTTTTAGTTACGGGTTTGGATAAAAGAACGGAACAACGATTGTATTGCATTGTATTGGGTATAACTTTTGCAAGCACTGGAGCCCACATTTCAGTTAAAAATCATACACCTTAACCGTCACAATGTACATAATCCACGGGGACAAAAGTTTTCGCACGCATGGGGACATTCATAATCCAAGGTTAAGACGAAGTTCATTTATTGTTCGCTCTTTTTTGTGAGTAGACGAGCAAGAAACGGTATGGGTGAACTGCGATATGCATTAATTCGAGATGAAATTTGGCGGAACCGGGAGCGTGTTGAATGATGGGAATGACGAAGTGTCAGTTCTGCATCCAATGGGTGGTCCGGATCTTTGAACATCCTCTCGGCAAATTTCACACAGGAAGTTACGTGATACTCGGAAAGGTATAAAGCTAACTCATTTACAGGAAGAGAAGAGATCC